GTGGCAGACAAAGGAACCACTAAGAAAAAAATTATGAAAAAGGTGTCACTGAAACTTCAATGTTAAAATAGAATTCTAAAACAAAACAAAAACAAACCAATTCAACCATACAGAAGAAGGCAGAAAGGGAAAAAAGGGAAGAGAAAAAAGAAATCCAAAATAAACAGTAAAGCAATACACCTAAATAAAACCTAGATAAGAATTGCACTGCTAATGAACTAAACATGCCATAAAAGGCAGAGATTACCAATGTAGAGAATAAGACTCAGCTATACACTGTCTGTAAGAGACACACTGTAAAATACAGACACAGAGGCATTCAAAAGATGCATACCATGCAAACATTAGCATACAAAGACTGGAGTAATTAAATTAATATTAGCTAAAATAGAATGCAAAGCAGTAAGCTAAAGAGGGATATTTCATGATAATAAGTGTCAGTTCATCGAGGGACTAATGAACATATACATAAGAGACCTTCAATAACAGAGCTATCAACAGTTTTGAAATTGAAAAGTCAAGAATTCACAGAATCAAATAGTGTGCACACTTAGTAGAAAATTTTAACTCTCTATCCCAGCAACTGATGGAATAAGCAGAAAAAATATCAGTAGACAAAGAAGATCTGAATACATTATCATTACCTTGACAAGTGATATTTATGATACTAAATAACAGCAGTTAACACGTTATTATCAAGCACATATGGTTTGCTTATGAAAATAAAGCATATCCTGAAACCCAGAGAGACAGCTCAGTAGGTAAAAGCACTGATCACCAAGCCTCATGATCTGAGTTCAAGCCCCAGGGCCCATATGGTAGAAGAGAAAAACTGAGTCCTGCAAGCTATCCTCTGATGCACTATGACATGTATTGGCCTTGCCAAATAAATAAATACAAAAAATTAATAAACATAAAAAATGAATAAAGCACATCCAAAGTTAGAAAAAAAATCAAACTTAAGTCCATCCATTCATACATACAAAATAGGAATACAGACAAACATATAAAATACAAGCCAGAAACAGAAGCATGCAGGGTATGTTTGCTGATGGTAATAGGTAAATTAGAAATCAATGTGATATATATGAAAAGAAAAAAATAGAAATTGAAAAATATTCCTCTAAATAATTTATGATCAATGTAGAAATCACAAATAAAACCAGTGATATAATGTCTCAAAAAAAAAAGAAAGAAAAAGAAAAGGAAAAAAAGTGGAAAAACAAAAAACAAAACAAGTCAAAAATGGAAAACTGACAGCTGAGGAGATGGGTCAGTTGGTAAAACTGGATAAAGACAAGAGTTCAGACACTGTATTTATGTAACAGCTGGGTATGATGGCATGTGTCTGTACTACCAGTGCTAGGATGGGAGATTCGGTGGGAGATAGGAGCCTCCTGGCTTCACTGGCCAGCTAGTCTATCCAATGGGTGAGCTCCAGCTTCAGGGATAGACCCTGTCTTAAAAAATAAGGTGGGGAGTGATCAAGAAAAGCATCTAATGTTGACCTCTAGTCTCCA